CCATGTCAGTTGAATAAGGAGGATGCCCCATCACAGTAATATTTTTACTGGTCAGAAACCGCTTGACAGATAGGGCCGTGTGAACGGGTGCATTGTCCCGGTGCAACAGCCAACTGTTGTGGCCTTTTTCTTCCTAATTTTTTCACGAAGTCTCTTTAGTACTTCAAGGTATTAGTATTGATTAACAATGTAACCACTGCGATTCAATCATCATGAACGTTTCTTGGGCACCCAGCACGTTCGTCATCTCCCACACTGTCCCTTCTCCCTGTGTCGTTTATGCCATTCAAACACACGTGCATAAGACAAAGTTTCGTCTCTATAAGACTCGGTTAACATTTGAAATGTTTCCTCCATGGCTGACTTCTTAAGTTTCTTAACCACTTCCGCTAAAAAGACGTGCCACACACGTCGAGATGCTTTTGTCTCAAACCGCGTGCAAAAAGGAAAATAACGTGGTGCACACGTCGCCTAACAACGGGATTGTTTATTTCTCGAGTTACAGCTCTGGATTGCACTCGCAGACGCGGGGCCACCAGCGGCCGAGCGGTAAAGTCGCTGAACACTGGTAGTTCGATCCGAGGTTCGAATCCCGCGAACGGGCTGGTAGCATGGGCGTTTTCGTGGTTTTCCCCATGTGTAACGTGTGTATACGAACCAGTTTTCCTTAGAAAGTCCTCCACGAAGGCATCCCACCCCTTAGGCAGATGGCTCTCGAGGCTTTGCCATAATCACACACACACACATGCACTCGCAGACGCGGAGCGGCGTAAATGAGACACTTTACCGCTTGCTGTATTGTAGCGCACGGCACCGCAACCGTGAAGTTTAGTCGTAGCGCAAGTGGTTGAGAAACTTGATGTTGATTCGCTGTTAGGTTTCTTACATGTGACATTTTTCTGGCAGAATGCAGTTGCACGTGTTTACTCAACGGCGCAGTACTCCCCACTGGAGTGGTGGGTTAAGTCGAAACTGGCCGCATGAATAGAAGAGATGTGTGGCATGACGTCACCAAAACAGTTGTTGCCAACTCCAGTCTGTTTTCAAGGTACACAGTTTCTTTTTTTTTTTTTTTTTTTTTTTTTAACCTCGTATATACATAAAAATATTTGCTTCCCCCCTCCACTTTACAATTTTTTAAAGGTTAAGAATTGATTTTATTTTATGGCAAATATTATTAATATTTTTATTTAAAACCGCTTGCCTGATTATCCCAGGTTCGTATATATTGCATTTAATTATTATCCCGAGAAAACTCGGGCGAAGCAGAATTTGTCAGTGCGATTTGTTTTATAACTATTTTACTCGGACTGGAGGAAATGAAAAGGAATATTCAACTTTGATTTGGAAAAAAAAAATTAAATACAACGAGACAGTGTACTCTGTGCTCCCGTAAAAGAGATTCCAGAAGTAAGTTAGTAAGAAAAGAGACCAGATACCAGTCTACAGAATGTCAATGTCAAGTATCTCTTTGTGTTGTCCCTTGTTTCAAAAACTATCATACAAAGACTAATATTTAACTTTTTTTCATTTGCCCGAGATAACTCGGGATAGTAAACTAATATTAAAACTAAATTTTTATATTTGTAAAAAATTAAAAATTTAACTTAAAACCTACATATTTTGTTTCCTTGTATTTAGTAATAAAATAAAAAATGATGATTTTTTGCAAATTTTTTCTGAAAAAAAAAAAAAAAAAAAAAAAAAAAAAAATTTGTAAGGGAAGCGGTTAAAAGAGAAGCAGTGTATTTTCATTGTTTGCCTTCTAGTTCCGTCTTCGGTTCACAACCGGCCCATTTGCTGTGATTGAACCCCAAGTCAAAATAACAGTTTTCAGTGGCCTTAGTAGGCTTATCGCAACGTATATAGAACTAAATATGTCTCATCGTGAAAAGCCCAACAAGTGACCTAGTAAGGAAGTCCACTGCATATGAATGCGCTTTTTAGAGCTAGATTTTTCCTGAGTGGACTTTGTTTTTGCTGACATGTATCTGCCTAAGAAAGGGGTACCTTCGTAGAGGAGTTTTTAAGGGAAATTAGCTCATATCCACGTTACATACTTTCAGATTATCCCTGAGCATTGAATTCAGGATCCTTTAACCAGTCAGACCCCCTTCTAGGGATAATTAGAAAGGTTACAGGGGAAAACTTCAAGGACAAATATATCGTGAAGAAAACAACGCAAGGCCAAAAACATTGTCAGAAAAACACTGTGGAAGAGAAGAAAGCGGTTCAAAAACATTGCATTTTTAGAACCTTGTCGTAAACTATATCACGGTAAAAAAGCACAAACAAATCATCGCATGATGATAACATGGCAGATCCTGTGTTTTTCAGGCTTTAAAAGTTGAAAATGTGTATTCGCATAATCTATCAACGAGCGCAAGGAGAAAGGAAGAATACTTTTATCTATTTCATATTTTTTGGATTATTTAATAATTCTTTGCTAAAAAGTAAGAAGGAAACTTAAGTGTTTAAAAATTGAAAATGTGTAGAAAATTAATCCTACATGTAACAGTTAATAGAATTTTAAATTTATGTACTTTACTATTAAAAGCCACTATTAAATTATTCTCTTTTATGAAATTGTAGGCCCACCAGCGGCCGAGCGGTAAAGTTGCTGAACACTGGTAGTTCGGTCCAAGGTTCGAATCCCGCGAACGGGCTGGCTGCATGGGTGTTTTCGTGGTTTTCCCCGTGTGTAACCTGTATACGAGCCAGTTTCCCTTAGAAAGTCCTCCACGAAGGCATCCCTCCCCTTAGGCAGATAGCCCTAGTGTGCTTTGCCATAACTAAATATACCATTACACCATCTTATGAAATTGTATTGGCAGTTTTTTTATAAAAAAATATAGTCGAAAAAGATAAATAATAAAAAGGAAAAATTTGAAAGGTTTCAAATTTTATTTTAAATTACGTCCAAAGGGGCGGTTTTTTTTTTTTTTTTTTTTTTTTTTTTTTTTTTTTTTACATTTTGTGCGTTATCTTGATTTTTTAAATATCATGTTCTTCGCACTTAATCTTTAGAATTTCCGATGCTTAGTCTCACGCGCTGGAGATAAAAATGTTCTCTCTGTACAACGTTGCCATTGCTCGCTTTGAAATCCTTGAGTTTTTTAATCAAAAATTCGTTAAAGTTTTACAAAATAGGAAATCGATAATAAAACAAATTCCAAATTTGGGCTTCCAGATGCCTATATTCGCAGTACGATTACGTCATTCAAAATTTATGTAGATTCTTCATTATTTAATTTTTTCAAATATAATACAGGGCGATAATATTTGGTGGCAACAGTTTGAAAAGTGAAATGAACATTCAGAGTGATTCGACGCAAAATCACTAACGAAAACAATAGTTCCTCGGGGACAAATCCCCTTTGGACTAAAAATTAGAAAATGGAAGATGAGTAACTTGCATGAGATTCCCTACATTCAAATTGTTAAATTAGTTATCAGATTGTATAACTATTTTCTTTCATTTTGTTAATCTGATATTCTTTTAGTGAAAACTAAATCTTATTTTGTTTCAATTAACTAAATATTTTTATTATAGGTAACCACATTCAGTTACTCATCTTCACTTTCCTAATTTTTTTCGACTATATTTTTCATGAAAAACTGCCAATACAAATTCATAAAAGCGAATAATTAAATAATGACTTTAAATAGTTATATACGAATACATTTTTGCTAATTGCTGCAGGTAGAATTAATTATTTACTGATTTTCAGTGTTTGAATGCCTAAGTTTCCTTCTTGCTTTTTTAGCGAAAAATTTTTAATTAATCCAAAAATATGAAATATTTAGCGGTAAAAATATTCCTCATTCCTTCTTGCACTCACAAATCGTTATGCTAATGTACATTTACAAATTTTAAAATCTGAAAAACACATACCTGTAATGTTTATCATCATCGGGATGATTTGTAGATGCTTTATTTTTTACGACAATGTTTTAAAACTGCGATGTTTTTGAATCGCTTTATTTTTGACGAGGCCATTTTGTTACAGAATGTTTTATAACTGATGTTTTCTCCTGGTTTTCTTTTCTTCCACGATGTTTTGTATGATGACATTTTCTTCTTGCGATTGTTTTTTCTGCGACGTCTTTGCTGCGATGTTTTCAACAGATACCATTAAAGTAAAGGGAAAGCGCTAATTGCTAATTAGCGGATGCCATTTCACACTCCGAGTGTCCACTATACACATGGGCAAAAACACGAAAACTTCCATGCAACCATCTCGTTCGCCGAGATTTGAACTTGGGTCGAACTAAAAGTGTTCAGCTCCGTCTTGCAAGGTTTTCTTTTCTGTACGTATTTTTGTGTTTGAAATTAAATAACTTTTCTATTCTATATTCATTCCTAAAAATATGCATAGCAGTTTTCAAAATAACTTCAGTCGTGTTGAATCAGGGGTTTTTGTTGTTCTTTTCGGTGTTTCAAATTCATTCCAAAAAACGCTGGAAATAACTGTATTTATCCAAAAAAATAATGAAGTTTAAGCACAATAAGGGTTAATCCACAAATGATTTTGGTAGAATTTTAATCAAAGATGAATTTTATTAAAATTGTTCTAAAGCTGTTTTTCTGCGCAATCCTATACCTTTCACACCTTTTATTATACTCATTTCTTCTATACTAAAATCATTTAAAGTGTGATAAAGTGTAGATTTTTAACTATCAAATAAGGCGAATTTTCCGACACAGATTCGACAGAGCTGATTTCTCTAATTTTAATTATTAAAATTTAAATTTCCTATCTTCTTCCTTAAAATTTAATTTCCTATCTTCACATTTTGGGGCGAAAAGTCAGAAAATAGAGCTTGGATCCATTTTCTTATTTTTCATCCTGAGTCATGATAGTACAGAGTAGCATTTAATACCAAATATTCCTTACAGTATATAATTATAAATAAATATCCCTTACAGTTTTAACTATGGTTGAGTTAACAATGACATTTCTCCATTCCCATGTAATATTGCTTGAGTTTCCTTTCAGGGCGCTGGATTTAACAGTTCTTTGTTTCCTCACGAACACTTCCTTTATCATACGGCATTGACCAAAATTCCGATGCCATTTCAAACGCCCATGTGTGAAAAAGGTGGGAGCAAAGTCGAAAAGCATACAAATGAAACTTTTCAGCCCACTGGGATCTTGCTGTCGCTGATCTTGTAATGAATAAAGAAGTCAGTGATTCTTTTTATTGTCTGATTCCGTTTACTGTAGCAGCTTAAAAAAGACAAGTTTGTTCATAAATCTTCAGTAATTCTTATTAAAAACAGAATCATTGTTACACTCATTAGAATCATTGCAGATTTAGATTTTAGCACCATGTCACGAAAATTAACTTAGGTAGTGACAACCCTTGTCATTCTGTCTCATGAAGTAAATTTTCTTGCAACAACCACGATACCTTCCCTAGATATCTTTTTTCTGTGACAGTATTAAATGAAGCTTCTAGATGTGCAATATGCTCATTAAATATTTTTCTTTGTAATGGAAAGAAACTTTATTTTATCTCTTTTTGTAAATAAAAACACATATGAGAAATAAATTACTGTTGAAAGTCAACTCATTAATTTTTTGCAAAATTATACTCACAATCTGTTTTAAACTTCTCTACCTAAGCCATTCCCATTTGCATGTAGGGTTGGAGCATTTGATACTCAGAAATAAAACCTGTATAAAAGCTTTACACCTGGCCAACCAGTGATGAAGAGAATGGAGAAATAGTAGCTCATGGACATTCTTGCTTTTAAAGATGAAAGCAGTTATCTGTCGGCTGTCACGGGATGCTCATTTTATTATTTTTAATTAATTACCTGAATTGGTATATAGAATATCAGACTATATATATTATCGATTTAAAAAAGTTTAGTGAAAATAATTAGCTTCTCTGTGATCTTCCTATCCAGTTTGCTCATAGTACTAAAAAAATTTATTTTGCATCCAGCTGCAATCCTCCCAATAAAAATAAATATATATGGCATGTATTTAGTAATTTATGACGCTTTAGAGAGAAATAAGATAATTTATTGGTTTAATCTCATTATCTTAGGGAAAGCATTATTACTACCAACAAGATATAGATTTTTAAAATTCTCGTATTTTATCATATTGGAAGGAATGATTTTATTCTGTTATTAAAATTTATATCAGTTTCTGTAACGAAATTTTATTCACTTACTTTTCTACTGTAATTAATTTTGTTGTTTTGTATGGATGTCAATGAAACTAAGTTTGAAAAGATCTGAACTTTTAATTAAGAACGTGATACATAAATATTTTAAACTTTTACATGGATTTTAATTAGTATCTTAAACTATGAAAGGTTGCAAATTATCTGTTTCGTATTGGATTATCAATTTGCGTGATATTTCCTATATGTACTAATAATGTAATTGTACGTAATCGTGATTAAAAAAACAGTTTTCCTTGGAAAAAACATTTAAGACAAATAGCTTTCGAGTGCTCTGCCGAAATAAGTCACTAAACCTGACCTTTATAAAATGTAATTAAAAATTTGCTAGA